TTTTTTGGTTTTTCTCTGGTACCGGGAACCGAACTCACGACTTTGCGCTTGCCAGGCAGGCGCTTTTAGCCACTGAGCTAAATCCCCAGCCCCCTCATGCTTTATTTTTAAAAATGTCAATATTGGAACCTCTGCTCTATCTGAACTATGGAGAAATCCTGTCACAAGCTAGCATGCTTTTGTATGGTTTGGGGGGCATAATGAGGGTCTGAATGAGGGGCCCTCTACCAGTGAGCTACATCTTCAACCCTTTCAATTCTGTTGGTTTTTTTTTTTTTTTTTAATTTTTTATTTTTTTGGTTTTTTTCCGGTACTGGGAATGGAGCACACTATCTCAAGCTTGCCAGGCAGGCGCTGTGCCACTCAGCTAAATCATCAGCCCCTCTGTTGGTTTTAAAACAGAGTCTCTAAGTTGCCCAGACTGGCCTTGAATCCTGCCTCAGCCTTTTGGTTAGCTGTGATCACCAGCTTGTGAAAGTGCACCAGGCTGTTTTTTATAGCAGTGGTTCTGCTAGCGATGAGGTGACTGATCACATTTGGAAAAGCTCCTCAGTGTGGACTGCAGGGAACAGATAGCAGCAAGCAAGAGTCTGGGATTTTGATAACGGCTCTGAGGAGGAGTGTTGCTATGGTCCAGCTTGAGCATAGAGCTGTCTTCAGGAGTAGATTGTGACTCTGTGTGACTCAGTGGTCATCACCAAGCTGCCCAGATCAGAACTCTCTGCAGCCTGGCCCTGGGCCTCCAGGACACCTCCCCCTGCCTTGCTGAGTCTAAACACTGTGGCCTCCTGCTTTGCTTGTGGACCTACCATGGGGTGTGGAGCAGAAGCCCTGAGTCCTCTGCTGAGGCAGGAATCACCAGGGAGATGCCTCTCCGTGACTCCCAGCCAGAGCACAAGGCCGTACTGAGCCTGTTTCCAGAACTCAGCTGAGCCTGTGTATTTGCTTACAGGTTGGGGCTGTGATGCTAAAGCTGCTCTGAACAGCTGTGTGTGTTTTCGTCTCTCTGGGGTTCTCAGTAAGGAGGAGAATTGCCAGGACAGAGGAGAAGATATTGTATTGTACAGCCCAAGCAGTGCTAAGCTGTCTCTTCTTTTCCTTTTCCTTTTTGTTTTTGTTTTCAAGAAACAGGGTCTCTCCATGTTGCTGAGGCTGGTCTGAAACTCTGGGTTTGTACGATTCTCCTGCCTCAGCCTCGGGAGATACGGGACTGCAGGCGTGCACCACCAGCCCTGGTTCTGAGATGTATTATTGCCCTTTCTACCCTCAATCCATGTGAGATCCCTTTGTTTCAAATTCCAACCAATGGCCATTGCCTGTGAGCGAGGAGCCCTCACTGGGGCCTGCACAGTTGCAGAGTGTTGTAAAGTATTCCATTCCTTTCCCACTTGTCTGTTCCAACTGAGTTCCCTGCTCCTTCAGAGCAGCCAAATTTTAGTTGAACCAGGAACATAATGGGGATGGAGGGCGCAGAGGGGTCACGTGGCCTCCAGCTTGGGAGAACGTGCAAGAAGTTGGTCTTTGCAAAGTCTAGTGTATCTATGCAGAGCACAAGAACAAAGCGAGGTAAGGACATGTGTATGGCCCAAGATACCTTGTTCCCTGCTTGCCAAAAAGACCCTTGCTTTAGATCATTTTGTAGTACTATCCCAGAATGCCTCAGAGCAGATCATTCACAACCAGTGGAAGTTGATTTCTCACTGTTCTGGAGGCTGGGAAGTCCAATACCGAGGCATTAGCGCTTGGCCAGGGCCTCCTGCTGCATCAGCCTGGAGGAAGGTGCTAGGAGGAAGGGAAAATCAGGACCCAAGTGAGAGCAAGGGCTTTTCCTTGAGTCCTGTACCCTTTTATGATCAGCATTTATGGGAGAGGAGCCTTGGGGACCCCATACCTCCCCTCCTACCACACCTCCTAGCACTGGTGCACTGAGGAGTAAGTCAGCAACTTGTGCTCTTTGAGGGCACAGCAGCACTCGACTGCTCCTCCCTAGCCGGTGACAGTTTCCTGCAGCAGAGACCTGAATGACCTTAGGGCAACTTATTGTCCTGGCTCCCCTTCCACCACCAGCCTGCGCTACTCTTTCTCTTAAAGCCAGTGATTTCCCTTCCTATGAGCTAAAGCCGATTAAAGTCAGCTTTTCCCTCATGTTCCTTCCCATCTCCTTCCATGTCCATTAACGCTGTGTTCCTCCTCCATCCTAACACCTATAGGAAAGGGAGATAGTAAAGGAAGGAAAAAATTCCTAGGGGGGAAATGGAAGCCTCTGGGGCACCATTTCCTACAGAAGAAAAATCTCTGGTATGGTAGTTTTTTGAAAACCCTTCTCCCTAATGATGGTTTTCAATGAGGAATAGAACCGGTCCTGGTTAGTATAGTGGGGAGTATCCCCGCCTGTCAATGAGGAATAGAAATTTAAATGGAAAAAACAGTGTCCTAAGATCCCGAGTATTCTCAAGTCATTCAAGTGGCCATGCATGAGCTGTGCACGTTGGCTGCATCCCTTTCACTCCCTAAGCCTCATTTTTCTCTGTGTTCAACCTCGGGCAGAAGCAGCCCGCCCACTGCTGCCCCTGCCTAGCCTGTGGTTTCCTGCAGCCTGGGATGGAGCGTGCTTAGCAAAGCAGAGAAAGGTCACAAAGCTGGGGATGCCCATTTCCCTGTCCCCGCACCCCACCCACAGCCTTCTCTCTCTCTCTCCAGATCTACTTCCTTTGCTCCTGGCTCCTCCCTGTTGGGCAGCTGCCAAACTGCGTTGCTATCTGTTTCCTTGAAATGTGCAGCTCTGTGCGCTGACAGCTCAGCTGTTGTGGAAGGCAGCTGGTGACACAGAGGCCGTGAAAACATGGGTTCTTCCGGAAGCCAACCTGCCCAGGTGAGTTCCAGAGTGGCCCAATCTGAGCTGGCTGCGCAGCCAGGGAGGAGCAGCTCTGGTCACTGAGGAAATGACTTGGTGGAAGGAAGAGCTGGTGGGGGAACCCCAAAGAGAGCCTGAGCAGGGTGCAAATGCCAGAGGAGGTCATCTGGATGCAGCTTTTTCTTTTCCATGGCAGCCTTGGCTAAGGCAGCCTCTCGGAACCTAGGGTTGTTAACACAATTCAGGCAGTTGACCCTCAGTTAGTGACCTCCCTCTGCATGTCTGCTCCATCCCAGGTGCTCATGGAAGACAAGCCTAGTAGCACCTTCAAAGGGAACAGTTTGTATCAAGAAGATGTGAGGGCCAGGTATACAGCTCAGTGGCACAAGTGCCTGCCAGGCAATACGCCTTCTCTGGTTCCTCAGCAGACGAGAAAATACATAAACTGAGAGTTCAGCAGGCCTTCGGGTACTGAAGGAAAGAGGACCATGCCGCCCCACGATGTGGGCAGCACCCATCCGCCCGGCTGGCCTCCCTGGGTTACCTGTTCAGCCCTCACAGTTGCAGGCGCACACCCTCCACATGCTAGCGTGCGGGAAGCCGTGCAACCGCAGCACGGCTGAGCTACTGCGCCTACTGCCTGGCTTGGGCCCTGAGCTCCTTGTCCTGGCCGCCTCCTTCACAGGCCAGAAAGGAAGCTGGGCCCACAGCGAGGATGGCCTGGGGAGGTCCTGGGGGCCAGGGATAAGGATGCTCTGTGCTGTATCGTGAGGGAGCCCAGGTGGGGTTAAAAGCATGACTTCCGGGGTGCAGATCCCAGCTCTCACTGAGTAGCTGTGCAGCTCTGTGCACCTCAGAACCTTTCTGTGCTGCAGGGCCCTTATGTGTAAAAGCGCCAGTGACAAAAGGCAAAGGTTGTTCTGAGAAAGAAGGTAACACAGGCACGAAAGGCGGCCACGGGCAGGGCCTTTTACCTCACAGCCGCGCCCTGTGCACAGCCTTGCTCTGCCAGGCTGCGGTCCCACTCCAGTGTGGTCTAGGCGCCCCCAGAAAGAGGGTGCTGCACTTTGGCTGTGAGGGTCAGCTCTGCTTTTTGGACCTCCAGGTCGGAAGAGGAGAAAAAGTGCCTTCAGGCAGGGCCAGGAGCAGGGAACAAGTTTGGAGCCCTCTGAGGTATGGATTTGAGTCAATGCAAACAGCTGCATGATTGAGTCACACCCAGCCAGAGGTTTTTCACAAGCAAGAGAGGTGGCATTAAGGTCTCACTAAGAGTAAGACAGTCGAGAACCCAGGTAGGTGAGGTGACTTGTCCAGCATCTCAACCACTGGCACAGGGGGCTGGCCCGGGGGCCAATCCTGTGGGGCCAGGGAGAACCTCCATCTCTTTGCAAGAAGGGAGCCAAGTGGGCCCCATTGTTTTGTGCTAAGCTCCCTCAATGGACTTCACACCTCCAAATTCCACAGCAGCATTGGTCATCCCAGCTTAAAACAATATAAAGTGCAGTATATTGTCTTATAGCTCACCCGGTCAGAGGCCTAGAGTCAATGTGTTGAAAGGCTGAGTTGAGCTCAGCAGTAGAACAAGTGCATAGAAGACTCTGGATTTGACACCCTGCACCACAAAGAAAAGAATTAAAAGGCACCATAGGTTCATTTCCATCCTGAAGTTTCAGGGAGAGTCCTCTGTTTCCTTTGCAGCTTCTTAAGGGGCCTGTATGCATGGGCTCAGTCTCCTCCCTCTGTCTCCAAAGCCAGCAGCTTTTGGGGGCTGGGAGTGCAGCTCAGAGTAAAACGCATGCTGCCTGTTCCATCTCGAACACCACAGAAGTACAAATTAAAAGATAGAAAGTCAGCATCTTCTTGCTTCTGTTGTCACATCCTCTCCTTTTACCCTGACTGTCCCACCTCTCTCTTACAAGGGCCATTGTGATGACAAGGGACCCACTGAAACTCATTCTGGCCACCTGGGCTTCAGTGTAACAACTTGGGGCCCATCTCGCCAGCCTCAGATCCTTCACTGACATCTGCAGACCCTTTTCTGGTTAAGGTCACACTCATAGGTCCAGGGATTGGACTGGAGTGTGGACGTTTCTGACTTTGGGGCCTGGGGACAAGGGCGTCATTCTGGCCTCAGTGCCTTCCTTTCAGCATGGAGATGCTAAAAGGCAGGTGATAGGATCCAGGGCCAGAGCAGGAAGATCCAGAAAGACTGTGGTCACAATCAAGGTTACCAGGAGACACCCAAGGCTGAATCCTCTCAACCTCATTCATATTGGAGCATCCCATCCAGAATGAGTGTGTGTGTGTGTGTGTGTGTGTGTGTGTGTGTGTGTCTGTGTCACACATTAAACTTCTTGGTCTCTTTTCCATAGGAACCTCCACCACGACCCAAAGCTGCGGTAAGTGGTGTGTGGTGGCGAGAGATTTCATTTGGAATGGGAGGGTGGGTGGTGATGGTAGCCTGTGGTGATCCTCTGACTTGTATAATTCAACACTTTGAAAGGCTGGAGTTTAGCTCAGTGGTAGAACAAGTGCCTAGAAACTGGATTTGATGCTCTACACCACAGAGAAAAGAAAAACCCTTATCTGCTTAAGGTCACACTCCTAGGTTCCAGGGATCAGATCAGAGTGTGGATGTTTCAGACCTTGGGGTGAGGTGGGGAACGGTGTCATTCTGGCTTCAGTGCCTTCCTTGCAGCAAGGAGTTGCTGAAAGGCAGGTGATGGGATCCAGGGACAGAGCAGGAAGATCCAGAAAGATTGTGATGACAACCAAGGTTACCAGACACCCAGGGCTGAACCCTCAACCTCATTCATATTGGAGCACCCCCTCCAGAATGAGTGTGTGTGTGTGAGTGTGTGTGTGTGCTAATGACACACATTAATTTCTCGGTCTCTTTTCCATAGGAACCTGAACCCGAACCCAAAACTGAGGTAAGTGGTGTGTGTGTGATAGCTGGAGATTGCATTTGGAATGGCAGGGTGGGTGGTGATGGCAGCCTGTGGTGATCCACTAACTTGCATAATTCAATGCGTTGAAAGGCTGGGGTTTAGCTCAGTGGTAGAACAAGTGCCTAGAAGACTCTGGATGTGATGCCCTGCACCACAAAGAAAAGAGAGACCCTTTTCTTGCTGAGGTCACACTCATAGGTTCCAGGGATCTGATCAGAGGGTGGATGTTTCTGACCTTGGGGCCTGGGGACAAGATGTCATTCTGACCTCAGTGCCTTCCTTGCAGCACGGAGTTGCTGAAAGGCAGGTGATGGGATGCAGGGACAGAGCAGAAAGAATCACAAAGATTGCTATGACAACCAAGGTTACCAGGAGACACCTAGGGCTCAACCCTCTCAACCTCACTGATATGGAGCGCCCCCTCCAGAATGAGTGTGTGTGTGTGTGTGTGTGCGTGCACGCTCATGCACATGTGCTAATGACACTCACACATTAAATTTCCTGGTCTCTTTTCCACAGGAACCTCCACCGCAGCCCAAACCTGAGGTAAGTGGTATGTGTGTGGTGGCTGGAGATTTCATTTGGACGGGGCTGGGAATATAGCTCAGCAGCACAAGTGCCTGCCTGGCAAGTGCAAGGTCCTGTGTTCTATTCCAAGTACCAAAAAAAAAGGAAAAAAAAAGTACACAAGAGATTTCATTTGGAATGGCAGTGTAGGTGGTGACTGGCAGCTGGTGATGAACCTCTGACTTGCATAATTCAACACTTTGAAAGGCTGGGTTTGCTTCAGTGGTAGAACAAGTGGCTAAAAGACTCTGGATTTGACGCTCTGCACCACAGAGAAAAGAAAGACCCTTTTCTGGTTAAGGTCACACTCATAGCTTTCAGGGATCAGATGGGAGTGTGGATATTTCCGACCCTGGGAGTTGGGGACAAGGGTGTCATTCTGGCCTCAGTGCCTTCCTTGCAGCACGGAGTTGCTGAAAGGCAGGTGATGGGATCCAGGGCCACAGCTGGAAGATCCAGAAAGATTGCCATGACCACCAAGGTTACCAGGAGACACCCAGGGCTGAACCCTCTCAACCTCATTCATATTGGAGCGCCCCATCCAGAATGAGTGTGTGTGTGTGTGTGTGTGTGCGCGCGTGAGCGTGTGTGTGCTTATGACGCTCCCACATTAAACTTCTTGGTCTCTTTTCCACAGGAACCTGAACCCGAACCCAAAACTGAGGTAAGTGGTGTGTGTGTGGTAGCTGGAGATTGCATTTGGAGTGGCGGGGTGGGTGGTCATGGCAGCCTGTGGTGATCCACTAACTTGCATAATTCAATGCGTTGAAAGGCTGGGGTTTAGCTCAGTGGTAGAACAAGTGCCTAGAAGACTCTGGATGTGATGCCCTGCACCACAAAGAAAAGAGAGACCCTTTTCTTGTTGAGGTCACACTCATAGGTTCCAGGGATCCTATCAGAGGGTGGATGTTTCTGACCTTGGAGCTGGGGACAAGGGTGTCAATCTGGCCTCAGTGCCTTCCTTGCAGCATGGAGTTGCTGAAAGGCAAGTTATGGGATTCAGGGACAGAGCAGGAAGATCCAGAAAGATTGCTATGACAACCAAGGTTACCAGGTGAAACCCAGGGCTCAACCCTCTCAACCTCATTCATATTGGAGCACCCCCTCCAGAATGAGTGTGTGTGTGTGTGTGTGCATGCTCATGATACTCTGACATTAAATTTCATAGTCTCTTTTCCACAGGAACCTGAACCAGAACCCAAAGCTGCGGTAAGTGGTGTGTGTGTGGTGGCTGGAGATTTCATTTGGAATGGCCAGGTGGGTGGTAGCAGCAGCCTGTGGTGATCCTCTGACTTGCTTATTTCAACATGTTGAAAGGCTAGGGTTTAGCTCAGCAATAGAACAAGTGTCTAGAAGACTCTGGATTTGATATCCTATACCACAAATTAAAGAAGCAAAAGGCACCATAGGCTCATTTCCATCCCAAGGCGTCAGGGAGAGTCTTCCGTGTTTCCTTTGCAGCTTCTTGAGGGATCTGCATGCATGTGCTCAGGCTCCGCCCTCTGTCTCTATAGCCAGCAGCTCCTTAGGGCTGGGGTGCAGCTCAGAGGAAAACACCTCTTGGGTGTTCCATCTCGAACATCACACAAGTACAAACAAAAGATAGAAAGCCAGCATCTCCTTGCTTCAGTGGTCACATCCTCTCCTTTGACCCAAATCTTCCCACCTCTCTCATACAAGGGCCAATGGGATTACACGGGACCCACCTGGGCCTCAAAGTGGTGACCTGGGGCCCATCTTGCCACGGTCAGATCCTTCACTGAATTACATCCGCAGAGGTCACATGCCCATTGGTGCTTTTTCTGGTTAAGGTCACATCGTAGTTTCCAGGGATTGGATCAGAGTGTGGATGTTTCCAACCTTGGGGGCTGGGGACAAGGACATCATTCTGGCCTCAGTGCCTTCCTTGTAGCAAGGAGTTGCCGAAAGGCAGGTGATGGGATCCAGGGACAGAGCAGGAAGATCCAGAAAGATTGTTATGACAATCAAGGTTACCAGGAGACACCCAAGGCTGAACCTTCTCAATCTCATTCATGTTGGAGTGCCCCCTCCAGAATGAGTGTGTGTGTGTGTGTGTGTGTGTGAGATCATAACACTCCCACATTAAATTCATTGATCTCTTTTCCACAGGAACCTGAACCAGAACCCAAGTCTTATGTAAGTGGTGTATGGGTAGCAGCTGTAGATTTCATTCTGAATGGCAGGGTGGATGGTAAGTGGCATCTGGTGGTGATCCTTTGTCCTGTGGAATTAAAAAAGGGTCCTTTATCAAGCTTAAATTTTAAAAATAGTCATCACATTAGATTAATTTTGAAAGGAGATTTCTACCTAAAATGGTCCCATGAGTGTGAGCTAATTATACGGCCTTCCCTTGTCACCCCAGCATGCTTTAGTGTCTGGCCAAAGTTCCTGCCCTGGTGGTGAAGCCCCCTGCTTTGGGAACACTGGGAAGTTTCCCCTTGGTTTTTAATGTACTAAGTAAAGATGTCTTGGCTCCCTCTGTAAGTCGTACCACTGTCAGGCATGGTTTAGACTTGGCTCATGTCCAGCTCCATGACAATTGGTACAGAATTTCCCACTGCTATGGTGCTCTCTGCTGTCAGCGGCTGACCTGTCCCCATCCTCCAACAGCCAGTTCCTTACTCTACCTCCATCCCAGAGGGGCTGCACCCATCCAAGGTCATCACTGTGTCAGGCGACGTGCTGCCCAATGCTAGGAGGTAAGACAGGACCTCCAGGGCTCTCTGGCTGCTGAATATAATGGGGAGGTGATGGGTCCCACCACAGCTGGGGAACAAAGAGAGTCCATGTGATCTGCCCAACCCAGGTTCCATATCAACCTGCGCCGTGGGGCTGACATCGCCTTCCACTTGGGCACTCGATTCAATGAAAACACTGTGGTCAGAAACTCTCGAATCAATGGCACCTGGGGGCCAGTGGAGAAAGACTTGCCTGTCAACATCCCCTTCATCCCAGGATGCAGCTTCAAGGTAAGATGCTGCAGCCTGGAACTTGGGGGCTCCCTGGGTGCAAGTGCAGAAGGTCTTGGGGAGAGTGAGGAGGTCTTCCAGCACATGGAACAGGTTGGGGATTGATGCTTGTGATAGGAGGATTGTGTCACAAGGAAGAGAGATGTGTAGCAAATTATGATCATGTTGTGATCATTGTCGCCCAAGGGAACTATTAGGATCTGCTCTTGATGGATAAGCAGACAAAATCACAGGATAAGTTACTTGCCAGAGGTCACATGCCCATTGGTGCCAAATCGAACTCAAGAATGAGGTGCCAGTCATTGATTAGCATATTCATTCAGCGATAATTCATCAGCTCTCTGATGGGGCTCCCTTTGTGCAGGAAACACCCATGTTCATGACTGTGGCCAGGAAGCAGAGAGCAGATCCTACCCCATGGGGCTTCAATCTAGGTGGGGAGGAGCCAGGAGTCCAAGGCATGAGTTGATCAGCAGACATAAGCAGATGCTCTGGGTAGGAGGGACCCCACTTCGGGGGAGCAATGTGCAGAAGAGGGAGGGGCCTGTGCAGAGCTGCACTGCAAGGTGGAGAGTGAGGGTGAGAGAGGTGTGGGTTGTGGCCCCAGGCCTGATCACCCTGACTACACATTCAGGTCACACACACAGCTTACAAAAACAAAAACAGCCAGGTGCCCTGGCACATGTACCTGTAACAGCAGCACTCAAGCAGGTCAAAACAAGAGGATCCTGAATTTGAGCTCAGCCTGTGCAAAAACAATTTAGTGACTTAGGGAGATTTTGTCTAAAGCAGACACAATTAAAAATAGGGGAAGGGAAGTAGCTCAGTGGGAAGGCCCTGGGTTCGTTGCATAATACCACAAAGATGGAAGAAGGAAAGAGAGAGAGAGAGAGAGAGAGAGAGAGAGAGAGAGAGAGAGAAACAAAGAAAGAAAGAAAGAAAGAAAGAAAGAAAGAAAGAAAGAAAGAAAAGGCAGGAAGGAAAGAAGGAAGGAAAGAAGGAAGGAAAGAAGGAAGGAAGGAAGGAAGGAAGGAAGGAAGGAAGGAAAGAAGGAAGGAAGGAAAGAAGGAAAGAAG